GATTCACAAATTGCAGTGGAATGCAAAAGCACAATCGTGAAAAGATGAAAAGCAAATGCTAACGATGCCGCAAGAGTTGGATTGAACGGTTAACAATAATGCGGTTACTAACTACAACGCGCACCGAGTGGCGAACAATGCTGTTCGAAATAGTGGATGTGGTGGTGGTGGAGGGTATTTACAAACGGGAATGAATACGCGAATTCGAGACATAGTTGAAAATTTCATTGTGTACGTAGTGTTTGATATTAGACAATAAAGTTTGGTACAATCGTCAGATGCATTGAAATTCTTGCCAACATTAAAGTAAACAAGATCTTTGCGGAGCGCATCACCAAGTCTGGACGAGAATTTACGGACCAGGAAGAATATTAGGGCTTATGAAGCATAATACAGGTGGTGAGAAACTGATATATTACGCATGGAAAAAAATCAAGTTTTCCAAGTCTGTAAATACACACGGAGAACTCCTGAATCTTTACAAAACACTTTCAATATGTATAGTCCATGAATAGTTGTGAGACAATGTTATAGATTAATATTTCGCTTGAATGGCTTTGGGGATAGTTCAACCATAAACGATGTGAGGCGAGAAATTGTGAAAAATTATTTGGTTTAGAACGACAAATTAAAGAATGAAAGGGATCTTAACACAATTAGGAAGATTTAACTGCGGGGAGCGGAATGTAGGACCAACTGCAAAGGTTGGTCAAACAGTCTGCTAAAAGACCAAGTGAAAAAGTTTCAGTGTATGGACGGTCAATAACGAGAACATCTGCATACTTGTAACGAATGAAACTACAGGAATAAGAGGATCTTATATGTGCAGAGAGAAACATAACGGAAATAAAATTGTGTGGTGATCCTGCAACGAGTGGGCACGCACCACGGTACAGCTTCCAGGTAGCCAATCAGGAGACGGATTTCCCGACCAGTCCTGTGGTCTCAAGTGCCACCAACCGGACTGACTGAATGCAAGAAGGCAAACAAATGAGCCATATCGTTGTCGATTGGACATTGACGAATCGACCAATGACTGTTTAATACTTAGGATATTTATTTGCATGATTTTCCGAACAGAGTTAACTGTATCCACAGATCGTCTTGGTTCTACCTGACTTTGCGCTACTCAGCAGGTTTTCAGTCCGAATCCGAGTTCGCGCTACTCGATTCCGATTTCTATTCCAAATACTATAGATTGATACATGAAACACTCCAGAATTGATTGAAGAAGCGGAAGAATGTTTGATATAGAAAGTAAACTGGGTTTGGTTTGCCAAGTATGGAGGTAAAACTTCCAAGATATCTGACGTAACAGCAGTCATGGAGGAGATGCGATGAAGAGCACTGATTCACGGAACCAATGGCCTTTGTATGAACGAGAATGACCAGTTTTAGGTTTCGGAGGCCCTTATCCTAAGCAGACGCAACAGCGTGCAAAATGTAGACAACAGCATCAGGCGGCATTAGGAGATAGTTGTAGAAAAACTGGAAAGGGTCATTCGAATCTATCAGTGGTGACCTTAGGTTAAGTAGTTGTTTCTGGAACATCCTCAGTAACCCAGAGATAAAAGCGGTGCTTACTGAAATGTTTCTTGGGAATAGGGGTGGTTTTAACAAGCTTCCAGCGTCGGGAAATCACACTGGTAAATGTGCAAAAATCAACCATACCAGGAATGGGCTCAGGAAGTTGCACAACAGCGGCTTGTATTCCAGGTGACCGGGATCATAAACTTTGTTAACTTTCAGGCTGTTCAGAACTGTGCGGATCTCGGTATAACTGATGGAGTGTAAATCATCCAAATGAGTGTAGAGGAGAGGGAATAAATTTATTCGAGGAGAAAAAAATGAGTTGAAGATTTAGATCTTGGATGGCTGTTTGTCCGTGTACCAGGTCAGTTTGATCTTACGACAGCTCTATGTGATAGCAATGGTCTCAGTTTGTAGCTGACTGAGTCAAAAAATCTCATTCTTGCTAAACAGTGATCGAGGTTGAATAAATTTGCCTCTTTCAGTCACGTAAATCAGATGTATGTTGTACCAAGCACTTTAAATGCAGAGAGGAAAATGATCGACATAGAAATCAATCTTTTCAAAAGGGTAGGGAAGATATTAAAATTTTAGAAATTCCAAAAGATATCCACAGCTTCAAGAACAGTTGAAACCGCGAAAAAATAGAAAAGAAGGTGTTTCAGTGCTTCAGGATAAGATGAGATGGAAAAGCAGCGTATTTTCAAAACCTTATTTGATTATAGATCTTCGGGGTCAGATAAAATAATACAGTGGTCAAAAGTCCTAATGGAATCTTTTGATGGATGTCAATAGTGTTCGAGTTGCTAACAAAAAAATCTCAAGCGTGGTATCTAGTCGAAATGGGGCAGGTTAAGAGTGCTATCACATTCAAGGAAGATAAAACGCAAGTATCAAGACGGTGAAATTTTCCAGAAATATTGATGCACCGACAATTTTTGTGATAGATGACTAGATGAAACGAGGGTCAGCTAGAACGTACCGCGGGTGTGTCGGGTATGACATTATCAGTCACTAGAATTTTTCAAAAAAAACCAAGTGAGGAAACAGGGATCTCATCAAGTGAGAGCACAATCAATGGTTTGCATCAAATAAATGAAAGAATAAAATTGCTGCATTGGTTACGGTCCACTGCGGTTTCGCAACTTTGTTGTGCTAACGCCATCGTAGGATAGCATAGCCGTCGAGTCTCACTATGTCATTCTCTGTATTGGGATATAATCAACTGTCCCCATTTTATCCACTCGCTTCGATTAAACTTGATATACATTGTTGTATTTTCGTACTTAACCTCGATTGACCAATCACATTTATTTCTACATTAGACATAAACACACACAAATAACTGTAAAGGCCTGAAGACGAGGTTACGAAAACAAGCTTGTTCGCTATATTGTTTGGCTTTTGATAATCAACCTTCCCGGAGAAAAATAGCCCAAACAATTGTATGTGTACGGATGAGGGAGATCGCTTTTATGATTAAACTTTCCCAAGAGTGAGTAAATGGTGCTGAAAATTAGTGATGAAACGCTCATTCCGTTTAAGTGACTCCTTTTGGTAGCCACTTTGCGGACTACAAGATGCTTAGTGTGTCAGCCACGAACTTCATAAAATAAGCCATTGGACCGATTACGCAAGGAAATGGTCAAGGAGAGGAAGAGTTACGTTGTGTGCAGCGGGACACAGGGTATCAAGAAAGTCCGGCAGTAGGATTGTGTGTTAACCTAAGATGGATTCAATATTATGTAAATCGTAGTGAAAGGATGAGAGTAGAATTCCTGTGTATCTAATGAAACTGATCTGATGTAAGAACATGAATGGCCGAATTTTAAAGGCCCCGCTCAGTGGACTATTTTAATGATCATATCCACTTGACATTGTTTACTCTCTCCTTAGCACATACACTAAGAATTCTTTCGATTACAAATCGATGTGTCAGAAAGTGTCACGTGTAACTACTTATCACACACGAACTCAGAGAAATAAAACAAACTGACAAACTTCAGCAGTCTCCAGGTTAAGCCGTGAATACAGTTTTATCTGTCCTATATTTGTTCCTTAGTTTATAGGCTTAATATCCTCCGTGTCATTGGTCAATGGACGTTCGATGAAACAAATGACATATAAATAATCAAGTCTGTCTTCTTTATCTCAGAGTAAATAACTCGGTAGATCATGCAACACAATACTCCATGAGGATTGAGTGAAAGGGACAGAATATTTCATCTGCTTTTTGCTTAGTACCTTACCCGATATGAGGACGGAGTGCAAGAATTTGTGTTACAACTTAGACATTCGAGATCTGGTGACCCGTAATAGAATTGCTGGTCGATTCATCCTAATCAATTCCGAACGAAACAGCGTAAGTTTTGCTTTGTTAGATTGATTTATGCAACAAAGTCTAAGGGGTATACGGTTTTGTTTTACGGTTCAGATACGCATCTTATTTCACCACTTGAAACAGAATGGCAAAAACGAGGACCAGTGTCTAAATATAAATTCAGATAAACTCTTGGAAAGCATGGTTTTCAAACACGTAGATAAATGCAAAAAAAACATAACGCATCTGTGGTAGCGAGCATAAGAGTGCTTTAGTGCAACGCGACATTTTCCAGGTCTATAATTCATTTATATTTGATGGAGTAGTAATGTTCATCGGTGGGCCTACACGTGAAATCAGTCATGGCCCGGTACTAGAAGAATTGTAAAAATCATCCTTGATGAGAGTTCTATCCGGCATACTATTTGTATTAAGCACAAGTTTATGTGCACATCTATTAAATCAGTCAACGAAAAAAATCGACTAAGCAAACCATTAAAATAATTCCAAGTTGTCAAGGTGCTCGCGCGATAGGTGAAATTGACCAAAAAGTGTCAACTGCACAGGTAATCACCTAATAAACACACCAGGCAAACCGAACCGTTAGACTTGGTCAACACTGATTGGGAGAAACTCTGTGTAGTACTGTCAGATACGTTACACTAGTTGAGTTTCTTGTTCAGCCTCTATTCAACCTCTATTGTGCCCAGCGATTGGGGGGGGGGGGACCACGGAGGACTTGCGTTCGAATCCTATAATCACCGCCTCCCAATTTTATTCATTTTCTGTGTATTGTACGACGACCCTTTGCTTATCTGCTGCCCCTTTCCCGAGAAGGTTTCCATCCTTATATATTCAATAAAAGAAGAGGTAACAAGGCACCCGTGGATGGCACATTTGAGCCAGGCGTATATTCCTGGGGGTAACCTGTTTGTTTTATTCAGTATACTAGAGTGAGAGTAAAGGCTTTGGGAAATAATGGCATAGAGCGATGTGCCTTTCACACTTTGCACGATAGCACTGTTTGGGGTCAGGTAAGATAGGGCTAAGTGATACAGTGTAACAAAAGAGTCCTCTTGTTGCCTAAATATGATTTAAAATGTCATTCAAGTTTTTCAATTTACATTGCTCGTTACTCTTGGTTTCAATTTTACTTTTGCATGTACGTGGAATCGGAATTGATTATAGTGGGCAGTGGAACATATTCGTCATCATAATCTAAGTGACAGTGGTTATAAAAAACAATTTCACTTATGCATACATACCAGATTTGTGAAACCGATAAATGCCCAAGAATCCACGTCGCACAATCTGATGGTCCGAAACAAATCGCATACTTAAACACGGATTGTTCCATCGTATTACAATCGATCGATTTTTTGGTGGTTTTTGACAATAACGTTTCTTGGCTCGTTTTAGAAAATTGTATTGGGTGCATCGTTCCAATTCCACATAGTCTCCACCTCCATCCGTGCACCTAAAAATGAGTGTGAGAGGGAAAGAAAGAGATACAAATGGTATAAAGAACGCTTTTACCAAATACCAACCAATTCATCGATGTAGTTTAACTGCACAGAAGCTAAATCAGACTGTCGTGGTCAAATATTTCCCAATGCCGCAAACAGATTGTCAAAATAAATGTTGTGACACATTATGCATGATCTTTGCTATAGGTGAATTTGATGTTACTCAACCGGTGCGTACCGCAAAACCTACCCAACATGCAGAAGGGTATATGCCCGGTTGGAACCATTCTGTCATGAGATATACGGATTAGCAACAATAAAGGGTTGCAATTATCCACGTTTTCTGAAAGATAACAATTTTAGACTGCTGTATGACTTTGCTTGGATACGGACCTCGGCCAATGTGTACTTCAAACTAATATTGTAAAACGAAAAAAATGACATGATTTCCCGCCTAAAATGTGCTCAAAGGTTTTCGCTATCGGACAATGTCAAATATGTTCTATTCTGGAATATTGTGGCCATGCTCGGCACTTTTGAACCATGTTCCCAAAGTCAAAGTCAAAGTTTTATTATGGGAATAGCTTACAAGC